TAGTTGATATAGGTCATCTGTAACGAGAGAAAACCATTATCTTGCGTTAGTAGAGGCAGGTTCAGATTACACTTTAGTGACCGAGGGTGAATGAACAATTAGGCTAAATACTGTACGGAAATACCGTACTCTCCAAGCCAATTAAAGCTTGATATTTGTTAGTGTGAAAAATATTCTTCTTGATCAGTACTTATCAGAGTATAGTGTCCTCCATAGAGAGGAACCTCCACAGGTAGAAGCATCTAGTCAACCTTGGTTGATCGTGGCTTCTCAGTGGCATTGACCTGCTTAGAACTTGGAAGGGAGATCACTGGAAAATTTCAAAACTGTAAGGAAGTTGTTGATTTTAAATCATTTTTGAAAGCAAAACACTACACAGCAGACTGTGTGAATAGTCACTAGGGATTAAACCTTATTCTTTGAGGGATAAAAAAGAGTCTTTAAAATTGATAATTTGATAATCTGCATAACACTTTCAATTGAAGTAGGTATTTTCCAAACATGCCCCAAGGCCAATTGTAGTAAACATTATTTGCATTGGAGTAATTAGTTCAGGCAGTCACAGCTTACAAACTGAAGCCAAATCTTGATCTTCTCAATCCTAATGCTCCTCCCCATCCTACCTTTATTTCCTTCACACTCAAGTTCCTGAAGCCTCATATTTTGCCTTTCTAGTGAAAAACATTGCCTCTACATTGAGCTTTATCATACCAACAGCACATTATTGTGCACACATACTCTAATTTGAGGAAGTGTTTTGAAATATTCCATTATTAGACAAGAAGTATTTGTTTTCCTTTGATTATATTTCCTCTTTATTTTTTTTCAGAACCCCATTAGGCTACTTTAAATCTGTGATGATTCAGAAAACAATGTTGAAATAGTTGCATATAACATATGTTCAAAATGTCTGTTTCTTCTTAGGAAAGCAAAATATACATATGCACATAACCCCTTTATGTTTTTCCTTTCTCAGAGTTTCAAATAAACACCAGCTCAGCTGTAGAAACAAGAATGCATTTCCTATTTCAGACTGCACCGCAATCCTCTAGGGATATGCACGTGAAAATTTATGTTTTAATTATGTAGTTAAATGAAATTATTTCATTTTTAATAGCTCCAATTTGCTGTTGAAGTAAACAGTTGGGCAACCTCTGACCCTTTGAAAATGTAGCAGCAAAATTTATATAGGACCTGCTAAGATTATATTGCATATTAGGTGACTGATCCTGTAGTACTGTGCTGTAGATTATTTGTTAATATATATTCAGACCTTAAGTTAAGAATCCCTGGTGGAGATGGAATTGAAATCCATGTTTTTCCGATCAACCTTTGATCAATAGTTTATATCCAAAGATCTTTACACTTAAAAGTCTTACTTTAACAAGAAAAAATGACTAATAAATGTAATTCTGCATTATTTTACTAATTTGCAGAATTTATTTTGGGTCAATTGCAATTTATTTCCAAGAGTACTAAAGAATTGGTTGATATTCACAATTCTGTTTAGGCAATTCTACTAGCTATTGTCCAGATATTTTCAAGCAAATCTTGCAATCATGAGAACTGGTAACTTTAAATTTTCAGGCGGCTATATTCAGAGCATATAGTAATGTACCCAACTATTATGTCAAATACTGTATAATAATAATGATAACAGTAACAACAAAATCCCTTCAACTTTAAAAATCAGCACCTTTCTACTATTAGCAGCAAGATGAAAATGAGAAATCCAAAGAGGTTTAATCATCAATTATAAAGGGAATGTTAGAAAAGATGCGATACCAGTAGAAGCTTGACAATATTCTATTATTTAATATGTCTCTATAAAATAAAGTAGTAGCATATTATGCAAGATCACACTAAACAGCTATCAGAACAAATTAAAGATGTACAATGAAAAATAAAAAAATTTAATTTTGGTATTTAGTTGTTTTATGCCAGTAATAATTATTGTACACTAAGTGGTTCTTTGTACAACACACGAAAGCTCTTACTTCTACTATCTTCTTCTTAGCTAGTAAAAATATTTCTGTTTTCTGCTTAAATTACTAACAAATTATTTAAAGTTAAATGCATTAAAATTTATTTCAAAACTGATGCCGAAAGTCAATATTATTTTAAAATGCTATAAAATAAAAATGGAAGTTTAATGCACTAATAATGTGCTACTTTTGAAGAAATTAATCACATTATACCTGTATTTTACTGTGAATTGCTTTGAGAATGTTTTAGAAAATGACAAAAATTGTATGATTTAAGTTTTTAAAATTGTAGTAGGTAGAGTTATTGTATTATTTAAATCTCAAGAAACATACAATGTAATAAATATATGTTCCTTCAGAATATGTTTTGAAAGAATTTTACTTACATATTTATTTCTTATGAATGAAAACTTAGCAAAAAGATATAACTGAAGAATCTCAGTTAAATGTTGATTAGTTCAGCTTTTTATAAGGAGTTGTATGAAGAGAAGATATATAGCGTACTATTTAAATAAAAATGACTTACTTTATTTACTCTTTGAATGTTTTTAATAGCATTTTTAATAAAACAAAAACATTTTGATTTTAGTGCATGTCTAAAATTTCAAAAAGATCATAATGTTAGAATCAGAATACCTTAGTTAAAATATCATATTTCTGATTTCCTCAAAGCAAATATTTTTGTACTCTCCAGATTATGACAAATAACGGGAACTGTTTGCTTCGTGTGAATATAAACTATTGTCCAGTGGTGGCATCAAACTTAGTTGGCTAAGAATTTCCAATTAACAAGCTGTAATTTCAGCGGTTGAACATTAGCAATTTATCAGAGAGCAGACTAGTCATTCTAATCCTTTGTGTTTCATTTTTTTCCAGGCTTTCAGTTTTGATTAATGCACACACACATATATAAACATGTTCACATTTTTCTCCTCATGCAAGGCTTAACATTATCAAACTAAAGTTCTGTTCCTGCTTCACTGAAATTTAAAGCTTTAGCTTAATAAAGGAAGAAATGAAGTGGAGAAGCTGGCATTTAATATTAGTGTGTGGCTTACAAAGAAAACAAAAGTAATATATAATACAGTGGAGGACAACACTCACAATTTCAGTTTAAGTTATTTAATTATCTGTGTTAAAATGGAACATTACAAAATTAGATTCCTTAAGTCGTGATGAAAATTGTGATGAAAATATTAGTGCCATCTTTGTAAGTCAAAGGCAGTTCTTTGGAGAAATTAAGTAGTCAAATATGGGCTGGTTTTTCAAGAGTCAGATTTTTAAGCCTTGTACTTTCCAATTTTGATTAAAGATTTTCAGGAAGCATTGCTTAAACAGCATTTTGCTTCAACCTACTGAATGACACTAGGCTGTTACTGAAGTCAGTGCTAACCCTCTCAGTTTCTTTGATGAGGTCAGCATTTAATCTTAGAATGAATATCCAGTGCCATATTTATAATATTCAGTGTTAATAGCAGGTCACACTGAAGTTTCAATTTCCATGACTACATTTTATAGGCAGTTGCAAAGTAGGTAAAATACTCTGTAAAAGGGTCTTTAACTATCTGTCCTTAATTGCAGATCATTTATCTCAATTTATTTCAAAATCATGCTAAGTAAGTTGCAGTATTAAATATACCAATAGTTTGAAGGGACCTGTAGCTAAAATATCTTTGGAATTACTTAATACTGTTTTATTTATGAGAATGCTAGTTATCCAGCTGTAAGGATATTGTGGTGGTTTAAGCCATAGAAGAGTTTGGTATTGAAAATGTCCACATTTCAACAATACAAAAGAGTATAAAACATCAATAGCTTATCAGTTCTAAGTATTTCTTTAGAAGACAGAACAGAAGACATAAAAATGCAATTCCTATTCTGCACACTGTATATTTTCATCGATCAGTTTATTGTTAATGGGCTTTATAAGAGACAGCCAGCAATCCATATATACTTCTAAGGTTTTCTGTGTGGCTGTGTATGTGTGTACTTGGCTTTACAAAGAATATTGTATTTTGGCAATCAAATATTGGGTAAATTGCACCAAAAGGATCACACTTTTTCTTCTGCACTTCTGGACAACTTTGCTGGCTTGATAAGCATGTCAGATTTGGCTCTTTCTAAAAGAAGCACATTTAATTTCAACTCCTCCCCCCCAAGTGGTAAACTACATTCTAGCAAATAACCTTTAAGATAATTAGCTGACAATGCTGTAGCTAGCATAAAATTTTCCTTCAGGCGACCCCTAATTTAAGTGTTACTGGCACAAAGTGAAGACAGATTGTGCTTTATCACCACAATGTTTACATAGCAGAAACCCACAGAGCAGGCAACACGAGATTCAATGATGCACTAAATTAGGAACAATCATATATGAGTGCTACTATGCCATCTTTAATATTAAAAGAACCTTCAGACAAAAAAAATAGGTTTTCATGTATTCTGACTTCACTTTGCAATAAAAGTGCCTCCACCTTGTCAGGAACTCTGTAGTTTGTGACTACAAAAATAACTGGTACCTGCTATTTGGGCAGAGCAGGCAATGAAAAAAAAACTAAAACAAGTGTGTATAATTAAATAATGCTCTTGAAAATAGTTGGGAATTTTGTAAGATGCCCTATAAATTTGACTGAAACACTGCAAAGAATCCCTCACTGTGAAGAAAGAAACACTGATTTTCAATTACCACTTTAATAAATATCTTAGTAAGATAAAACTCAGTATAACCTTAATGGAATGAACTAACTGGAGGATAAATGTGCAATCTTTATTTATTCAAAATATTAGATATTCAATTATTTCAGGAAGATTGTTTTTATTTAAACCCAAGATGGCATACATTTTGACACAACCCTGTTTCCCAACATCAGTGTCCTGGATAAAAATACTATTATTCAATGTATTCTATATATATGTTACTGTATCTTTTAACAGGTTCATCTAAATCCCCCAAGGAACCCTTGAGGCTGATTTTCATTTGAATCCACATTCTAAGTCTTGAAGAAAACCTTTTACCTTTCCTACACGCTGATGTTCTTCAAAAGCTGTAATCAGTTCCTGTGCCCACTTTATTTTTTCAAGACTTGGGGAGAATTGTTCCTGGACAATGGCAACTTGATTAGGGTGGATCACCTGCTTACCTACAAACAGGATTAATAACCATAGAGTCAGCATTAACAAGCAGATGTTCTAGCAAAGTGTTGTAATTGCTAGTTCTGCATGCATATGCATGCTTAACAGTTTCCCATTACTATTATTATTACCAATAGAACTATCACCACCACCATCATCATCTTAAAATTAGTTCCCTTTTAAAATTTAACCTGTTCAGCAAATTTTTATTCAAACCAGAATTAAAATTAATTCTGAAATGAACTTCTATACCCGAGCATAAAGCACAGAATAATGCTTTACAATTCTAAATAAGTTCATTGAAAATATTCCTTATATAGTTAATATCAAAACAGACTTATGGTATTTTATTTATAGCTTGTTCCATATCAAACTGAAGACTTTCACAAATATTAGACAGGAGCCATGCAAATGTTCTCTTTCTTAATGAAATGATACAACATGGGTTATGTTTTTCTAATGTGACTACCATTTTGCTCTTGCTTGGTCAGTCAAGAAAAAAAGTACATAAAATTTAACTGAAAGTCCTCAACAAATTAACATTTTACATTTTTTTCTTCACAATTTTGTTTGCAATTACAATGTCAGTTTCATTTTTTAAAAAAAATATATTTAGTATACAGTACTTGGAAATACTGAAAAATGACTGAAATATTTTTCTTGAACAAGCAAAACAGTTAAATTATACCAAGTACTTTTAAGAAGTAATATTTTTCTTTATAAGGTATTCAACTTAAGAGAAATTATTCATCAGGGAGAAATATATAATACATACATATATCAGCATTTTGATTTTCAATAGTGTAGTGGTTAATTTAATCCATAGTAGATAGCCATAATTTTATATGTAGGGTTCAGATTATTATTTATTTTATTTTAGAAATTTTAAGAGGAAAGAAAACTATTTTTAATGATTTGCTTCCACTTTTAAAAGATTTAGGGTCAATTTTGTCCATGTCTTCAGGAAGTTATTAATATAGAGCTCTGTTTTAAGCTAAATATACCCTTTAGAAACCACAGCTTGCCTTATTTTTTCAGATTTTAATTATGTTATCACTTATAATTGAGGTATTTGTAATGTGAGATTCAGCTGCTCCATAACATTCATGTTAGATTTATTTTCAGCTGTTCAAAGGTTACTTTGTAAAACAAATGATTGCTCTAAAAACATTAGTGTCCTGCTCAAATTTTGATTATTCCAAATTAATATATTTGAAGTTATGTCACAAGAATGAACAACATACTGATGTACAGGATTTGCACTCTATTATACTCGTAAACAGTTAAATTATAATCTCAGAATGATTTTGCACAAATATTTCATGATGAAAGCCCTGATAAAATATATTTCAAAAGACGCATTGTATTTCAAAACAGGGATCTCTAAATTATTGTTAAATTATCTTATAAATTGAATCATTTTTTGTTTTGATAAAGATGTGGATGGAATTTTAAAATTATATGCATGGCTCAAGGCCTTCAATCTTTTAAGATCAGCAAAAAACTAAAAAGCTGAAATAGCATGTTATTTGTATATCCAAATACCTTGTGGACTTATCGGTAAGTGTCCAACAGAATTTGCTGAAGACAGTCACGACAAAACATAGATTTCATTGATCTTAAATGATTTCCTACTAGTATGGCCAATTCTGAATTAAACCCAGGATTCTAAAATAGGCTCTAAAGATTAACAGTTATCAAGCATGGCCTTAACAAATTACAATGCATTTCAGAATGTTGATTAAATGCAATGGAAGCTATACACACTGGGATCTTATATCTATTTCATTGCTAGGGCAATCCAGGACAACGACTAACATGGGATTTACACTTAATTCATACTATTGCACAGTAAATGTTTTAAGGTAAAAAAAGGAATTTAATAACATTTGGTAAGAACTAATATTTTTTAAAAAAACAAATATTTTGGTGTCAAATAAATTTGGAGGGGGCATGCAGAATCACAAAACACAGAGGTACTATGAGTCAGTGATCAGTTGTACCTTGTATATTTGTATGAAATTCAAATTTTCATTTATTACTGAACGATATGAAAAGAAAATTGGAAGTCATATTACATTTCCCTCATCATAGTAGTTCTGAAAAGTTTATTATGAATGTTTTTCATAAGAACGTTTTAACTGGAATCAAAGAAAATGAAGAAATTAGACTTTCAGATAAGGACCTATGGCAAGTTAGATGTCTCTATGAGTGGCTCCATGAGCACAGAAATAAACACTGTGAAATCAGCGGCCAGGAGCCAGGTTCTGGCTTGCAAAAACCTTTCAAAAAGAAAAAAGAATTTGGAGGGTTGTCTATTTGGGCCCTAGTAGAGCTACTCCTCACAAGGAGAACACAGAAATTGTGTTTCTTGTGGCAGATTGCAAGTTGAATGGTTTAGGAGTCAAGAGATTATCAGCATGCCTTTAACTACTAAGCAGCCTTTACACACATATCATTTTACTAATTTACAATCTAAGAGAGATATTCCAAACAGCAGAGAAGATCAAAGACGCTCAAGACTCTTGGTGAGTTGTCTTCTGGGAATGAACAAGATTGTGATTTAGGAAGGTTTTAAATGGATAAAGGGTCTATAATACATTTTATATTCTGAAGAAATACAGATTATTATTAAGGACAGTAGATGACTATTGGTTGCTGCTACCCACTATGGAGGAATGATTGGTAAAATTGATAAATCTTACTGAAATGGATAAAGTAACATCTTTCATTAGAGAAAAGACAATATCCACTGGAGCATTTCCTATTGACTTATTGCACTTTTAGCCTTTTATGATCCTTTTTATTTTTCACTTTTTCTTTCTAATTTCATTCATTGTAGTTCTTACTAGTTCTTAAAACTTTTAATAGAAATATATTAAAAAATGAAAACTATTAGAAATTATGGGTTCTGAAATTATATTAAATTTCAACTATTTTTTAAAATATGTGTGTATATGCATACTTTTTATTACATGAAGGCAAAAAGCCTTGAGGGATGTATTCATGCATTAGTTCAATGATAAGAGATTTTGTTTTAGATTCTTCGAATAAAGGAACAAGGCTTTGATCATACAGTTGAAATTGTCATCTTAACTTTTTGATACTCCTTCTCCCATACATGCCTGCATATGGATCCTTCTTATCAAAGTCATTCTTAGCTGACATTATTGATAGCCATAAAATCTATCACACTTTTCTGATAATATTGCTCCAAGTGTAGTTTTAAACAAAAGTTCTGTCAAGTAGATGCTAATATGCAAATTTGTTGTTTTCTGCTTTTTTAATGTTGTCAGTCTAAAGTTAAAGAGGAAGCTGGAAGAAACAATGTTTAAACAGTATGTTAGAGGAGAAAGTTAGATGATAGCAAACTATCCCACCTCTGCTTCAATATTTTCCAGAAATTATCCTGGTGGGACAAACAGTTGAATCATAGCCTCATCTATCTACTTCTGCATTCAAAAATATCCTGAAATGGTTTTAACAAACAAAGCAACAAAATCTGAAAGCTAGGACTTTTTGAATTTGAAGAAAAATTGCTAGATTGTGTAGGAAACATTTCAGAATGAATTTGGGTTCTATATATTTTACATGAGGCCCATAACTCAGAGAAACCTCAAACGGGAAATAGCATGGAGTTATGAAATTCTAGATTAGGCTCAATTTGCTCTAGAAATCAACTATTGTCAACACCTTGCTTTCTACCTACCTATGGAAATACGAAACGTAACTGTCTTAACATTTCATATTTATCTTGAATGGGTAAAGTGTTTAGAAATCTACAAAATCCATTTTGAAATTGACCAAATCTACACCTGTATATTAATTCTTAGTCCAATTCTATACAGAACCAGATAGGAATGCTATTATATTTTAAAAGATAACTTTTATTTTGGGGGGGGGGGATAAAATAGTAAACTGATACTAGGAGGTAACAAATCTTAAGGGTAATTTATTTGATTTTGATTCTCCAACAGATGGCTGGTTGGTTAATCATTTCAAGGTTCTGAACTGACAGTGATAAAGTTGAGGTAAAGTGGCCATCCTGAGAATGTATTATAAAGGATTGTATAAAGGAATGTATTAGAAATTTAATATCATCTGGACCTAACTGCCCTTGGTATTAATTCCCCAGTTATCTATGTGTTTTCAAGTTTTAAATTTATGTTACTTATGTGGACAAATGCTTGATATCTTGATCTGCCTTTAGTCACAACTTGTAGCTCTTCCAGGGACAGATCTGAAATTTCCTTGATTCATCCATCTTTTTTATTATCTGTTGTCTTCTCAAACTTGCCAAGTATAGTTGACTTTTTGAGTTCCTTATCTATCAGTTTGAATCACAGATCCAAAGTATGAGAATTTCTGCTTACTGTTCCTACTTCAAGAGAACTGTCAATTTCCATTTGATGTGGAGTTTTTCTTGCATTCCATGGTACCCTCAGAAAATATATCTAGGTTGATAGTTTGAAAGCATCTTCTTTCATTCTTTCTTTCTTAATGTGCAACCTTTCATAGCCAGGGGCCACTGGGAAGACCAGTGCTTTAACTGCCTGGTTCTTTGCTCTGATAGAAATATCCTTGTGCTTCATCATATTTTCTTCAACAAAATTAGATATCTTTTTCACTTCTTCGCTGCTAGGTTCAAGTGAACTTATAATTATGTAGGCTGGTTGACACTAACAGCATTTGCAATATTATGCCTTAAGTCTGATTCTTCACTTTCTCTTTTTTATTTTCATAATACATTTTTCTAAGTCTTGCTTGCTTTTGGCTTAAACAATACTGTCATTTATATATATCTGATAGTGTTTGAGATGCTAATATAGATAACATAATTTCCAAGTCTGCAATCCATATTAGAGTCCCAAATACTCACACACAATGACTGTAAATTATCACAATACTTATTGTAAATTAAATAGAATTGGGATAATATCCTTTTTTCACAATCTATAACCTTGCATTGTACAATGAAGCAAGCTCTACTTCCTTACTGTATTCATTTCTTCCATCTAGTATATATATATGCAGTATTCACTTTCTGACCTTGTGCCTCTCTGGCTTTTTTGACACCTGATAGTTCATTTGGCTTTATTCTCTTTCCATATTTGGTATTATTTTCCTAAGTTCTTAGGCTAAATTTTTTTGGTGTGAGGAATCAGTACAATAAGTCAGAAATGTGTACATCCCTTTTTATTTCTCCTTCATCAGTTCAGTGTAACCTCCAATTATTTCCAGTTTCTATGTCGGCATATTTCCATATTGGTTGACAGAGAGCCTTTTCCAGTGCTCTTTTTCTCAAAGAAGCATATTTGTGTCATTATCATTTTGTACTTTAATTTATATAAGTGTTCAGTACAGCCTTTTCACCTTCATTTGCTGTAATAGATCTCTACTGTAATTAATATTTCTTACTTCAGCTGTACATTTTCTTATGATTTCTCAGATTTTCTTAACAGTACCTCCCGTGCTCCTCTTTCTTTTTGCTTGGTGGTATTCTTGATCAAGGTATTTATTCTTCTCTTATTCTTTCTTTCTTGATATTTAAAGTTAGATGTTGATCTTCCTGTTCTCCAGTTTTTTTCAGTTTTAAGGAAAGATGTTCTGATAGCTATTATTGTCTTTAAAATTTTAAATTTTGGGATTTTATCCCCAATTCAGTTTTGCCTATCTCTTCCAATTGTTTGCAAAGGTAGTGTACTGAATCTTTTCTTTCTGGCTGTATGTTCTCCATACTCAAAGCATTCTGGCACCCTAATTCAGGTTTCTAAGTGACACTAATCATTCATCATTATCGACATTCAATCTATAGTATATACCTAGAACTTGTTTGAATGCTTCAGCCACGTTCTTAAAGATAGGCAACAATAAAAAAATGGTTCGTTATTCCCTCTGAAAGTAAAGATCCTTTGGCTGGATGAGTTGTAGAATTTTCCTCCTGCCCTCACCTCCATACTTAACTTCACATTTTCCATTTGACCAGGTTGGCAAACCCAACCTTCTCTTCAGCTGAATTTTAAAACTGATGAAGCTCTTTCTTTTTTGAGAAAATGCTCACATGATTAAAAATGATATGTTGACAAGCCATTGTGCCTGTAAATCAACTATTCATTTACAGGGTACCACTGAATTAGGAAGAGCATTTTATTCTTTAAGAATTCAATCCTGGTGATATAGCAGAACTCTTTAAAGCAACTAACAAGCTTCTGAGTGGACTCTCAAATAAGATAGGATCTTATTTAGAAGATCCAACCTTCTTCTAAACAATGATTGAACTGTTTTTTATAAAACCGTTTGTTTGGTAAAAGGCTGTAATTTGGCCATAAGCAAGTAGGATCAGGGAATAAGGTTTGTAGGGTGAAGCTGAAATGCTTTAAACTACATGGGGAAAATTCTATAGCTGCTGTGTAATAACACAGCAACAAGCAAAGCAAGCTGTAATGCTGCTTACCAAATTTAAACCTAATAATATCAATAGGAAGTACTCGAAAAGATATACATCAGTAACAGCAAATGCTAATGGTAGCACAAAAATGGAATTGAAAAAAAAAATCATTGCGATGGGCCACTCCTATGATTAAAAAAAAAGAATCAGATTAGTTATCCCTGAGCTAGGTGAAAAGGTCTTTTTCCAAACACTTTTTCAAAGACATTTTTTCCCCTAAGAGTAAAATCCTTAGCTAACTGGGACCAATTTTAAAATATTCGGAAGTTATGATTATTGGGGACCATCAGAACTTAGAATGTTGGAGCACAGACTGGAAGGAGGCAATGAGAAACCACTTCTATGTTGCCAAGAGAACTAGACAGACATAGAAGACAAATTCAACTTGAGGGAGATTTTATCTTTTTGCTATAAAATAATATTTGCAAAAAAATTATAATCAAGTGAGTCGGAAACATCCACAGTTTTTGCAACTAATCAATTCATTACTTGATTCGTTTTGTAAATTTTTATTTAGAAGAGTGGAAAACAAATCCAACAAGTTTGTGTGAGTGTGTGTGTGTGTTTGTGTCTGTGTTTTTCAGGATAAGTATTCTCCATGCCACCTTGCAATTCTTTCAGTTTAATTTTACCAGAAGCCAGCAAGATAGCATGTTTGGATTCAGATCTTTTCATTTAAAACTGGCCTCTTATTAGATTAAGAACTCCTGGTATTAAAACTTGCATATCTTCTATCTAAAGCAAATGAAACCTATCACAGCAACGTCGGTGCTGTTATTTTTCAAAGCACATTAAAGGCTGCATGTGTGAGCTAAGTAGCTGATTTTTTTTATCACGAAGCTGCAATCTTTGTTATGTGTCGCATCTCACAGGGGTGCTTGTATGATCTAGTGTACCAATCATGGGTGAAATGCCTAGGTTACAGTGGCTGCCTGTAAGAAGCTTGCTTGATTGTGCAGTCTTGCCAGTTCCCGTAGGTGTCATCAGGTGAACAGGCAATTACTGGGAAACAAGTCAGAATACAGGACAGCAGCTCACAGAGAAGACTGACAAGAAAATAGCTATCAAAGCCGAATTAGCATATGGGGTGGGGGTGGGGGCTTCTCATATATTAAAATGCTGGCTTTCAACAACCCCCCCCCCCACTTATTCAATTGAATCTATAATAGCTATTTGTATATATAAGGGAAAGTTTTGGTCAAATCAGCTAAAGACTTTTAAAACCTCTGACATTCAAAGTGCGGTGGGAACAATTTTGGAGCATAAAAGTATGCCTGCAGGCTCGCTGAATGGGAAAACGGAATGTGCCCAGATTTTTGGCCAAGATTATGTCTCGCCTGAATGGTAAGGGCAGGAGACTACGCATTGTTTATATTGTACTTTTGCTAATAAAAGAATGACACCAGGGTGTGATACGTTGAAAGAATTTTAAGAGCTTAATTTTTCCACCTTGAGTCTTTCATCTGCTGTTTTACAAGCATAAATGCTGAAAAGTTTATAGTGTTTAGACTTCTTTGACCATCCACCAAGTGGATAAGTTACGAAGTAAACTCCAGTACCGCAAACTCCAGTATCGTATCTGGTCTAGGATTAAGAAGAAGATTAATGTTTTTGAAATATTAACTAAAAGGCATACCAGTAAAACCCATTGAGGCACCCTCTTTTGATTGTTGACGCAGCCCATCATCATCCTGGAAGTCTATATAGACAAGGTCAATGGCCTGCAAGCCAAAAGCCTTCGCTGTGACGATAATTTTTTGCCGTGCATAAAGAATATCACGAGTGTCTTTACTACTTGTTGAACCTGAAACAAAAGACCATTATGGATGAAAATGTAATTCTCATATTACAAATGTTTGTAACAGAGCTTTAGTTAAGGATACATTTGTTTTTTATTTGCAAAAAAAGACAATAAGAGATTGTTATGTGATCACAATTTTTAAGATATGGTTGAAAGAATATTATTCAACTCATAGACACTTGCTTTCTACAAAAGCCTATTATTTCTTACTATGTCTCTTTTTAACTAATTTTCATTTAATTTTGCTATCATCTATTTTTATTTGTTAAAAAGGCCCACTACAAAGTTATGGATATAATAAAGCATACACGAACATTAAGAAAATATCCTTAAATGTTGCTCAACTCATTTAATCCAGAATAGTGCCATTAAATGCACCTAAAATTGCTTTTTTGGTAAAAAGAAACCTTTTGGTTAAATACATTACACTTATGTAAGTATGCTAATTTCTCTTATAATTTATTCAAATTTAAAATTTTAATTTGGGAATAATGTTTATATGTAATACTTTAAGTAGAATAGTTGAGATCTGTTTTGAAGCATTCACAAGTAACCTGCTGAAGATTTTATTATTCATCATTATATATTGAATTCCTTTCGTTTGGAAGGGCTGATTCTAAACTGCATTGTGATTAGAGGTTGGGTTCACATGTCAGACTAGAATATGACTCTCTGTGGTTTAGTGTGTGTGGAAAGTACCCAACATGATAAGTTTATAACTCAGTATGGATCTAGGAAATTGAGTTAATTCCCCAAGCTATACTCAATTAAATATGGAATCCTGCATTATGGAAACGTAATCCACAAATTCTTATAAGGGAATACAATCCACACTTAGGCACCTGCCATAAGTGAACAGTAAAAAGAAAAGCTGCTGACCTTGTTTACTTTTTGAAAAATGATAAACAGCATCTGAAGATACAGAGGCAATAAAAATAAATTATTTGCCCAGGGCATTTTTTTTAATCTGGTACCCTCCATATGTCTTGATCTACAACTCTTGTATCCCCAGGCAGCAAGCACATATGTTAAGATGCGTGCAATAAAATAGACAAGCAAATAAAGACAGATTGCTAAAATATTAAGAATAGTTCATAGTTCGTACACCAAAATATTACATCATATACACACTAATATTACTTCAATATTTTTTAAATGTTAAATTTGCATATAAAGAGGTGGTTTCATTATTAACTTCTCCCATAAAATCTTACATTATTTTTTATGACCCAGTAAACAGAATTGTCTATTTTTTTATTTTTTTATTTTTGCAAAAATTACAAAATGAACAGGTTAATGTTAATTCTGGTACTCTTTGGCCTATAAAAATAATGGAAACATTTATCATAGAATTACAATCAGATATAGTCAAATATATGTACTGTTGATTTAAGTAGGCTTATGATAAAACTGAATGGAGCACAGTATCCTAACTACTGCTGAATTAACATATTCTTTAAAAAAGGAAATACCTATACTGGCACGAAAATCCTCGCCTCCAAATACCACAGCGTCTAAATGAAGGCCAACCTGTGGTTCTCGTCTCAGAGTTTCTTCACAAACAGCCTTTAAGTGCAACACAAATATTAATACAAGAAGCAGGAATTTAAAAATTAGTTTTGTAATAAAAAATATACTAAGGCTATTCCTTATCTTAAAATAACAGCAAATGATAGCCACACAGAAATGAAACAATACATACTCTGGATGCAAAAATGGAGTATAATTAAAATTAAAATGCAGTATGCAGTATTTTATTTCCCTATTAGTTTTTCTGATAAAGTTTTCCAATGTGGCAACTACTTTTGGATTTAATAAAGCAATAAAAAATAAAACCCACTACATGATGTTTACAGTATGGGACTTTTTAAAAGATTCCAAAATGTTTAGCACTGCAGAGAAACACAACTAAAGCATATTTGGTTTAATACACTGCAGATGGAGATTGCAACTACTCACAATTTAATAGGCAGCATATGGTATGTTATCAACTGATGCTCCTTGGATATCTTCAAATTAATATAATTACCGGAGATATAAAATGCAACAAGTAGCATAGAAAATCATTTGAAAAGCAAATGATACCTTAGGGATTTTCTAAATGCATCAATCCCAGTATTATTGCAAGCTTTGAATAATGAAATATTTATTTATTTAGAAATATAATTTGGTAGCAATAATGCAATGCTTGCAAGGATCTTGTGAACAACCAGTGCTAAAATAAGTTCAGCTGTTTGTATTTATTATTTTAAGCAATACATTAAGCAGACATAATCAGTACGTGTAATGCTACTTTAATCTCTACAACTCCTAAGCATAGGAAATCACAATTGATATTTTTCAGGGCAGAATTTAATGGTCTTTTTTCTTTGGGTTTCACATTGAGGAAAGGCAAAATATTAATTAAAAAAGAGGAGGAAAACTTTTTGCATTAAGATCTATAATTAGTATTTCTTTAGCCTATATTGAAAAAGAAATCTCTGAAACTGGGATTTATATTAACACACTAGCCACAAGGGCCTCCCAGCAGCTCCTTCAAGTAACAGCAAACTTTTACAAGAAATCTTGGCCTGACTGGACTGCACTCAATTTCAGCATTAATATCTTTCTTCCATAGAAAACTGCAGGCCGGATGCCAAAAACAGGCTATCTGCATGCATTCATCACCATTGAGATGGGGGAGGAGGTAGAAAATGGATTCTGGGGCCAAGAAGAGAAAGAGATTGTGCATATAGTCATGTCATGCAGATATTACATCCTGGAAATTCTCATGTTTTTTTTTTAACTGTTAGGTCCAGCTGAGCATGTACATTAAAAAAAAACAACTAAGAAAGAATATTGAAGAAAAAAATATCTAATATTCTTTCAATTCCATTTTAAAATACTTTTAAAATATTTAATATGATGCCTAAAAAATCAAATGCAAAGGAGAGAAAAGAAATCATGAGAGTTAGAATATTTAGAAACACTCTTAACTATTTGGGGCTATTTTTGAGACTTGAGTGTCTTTTATTCAGTGTATTCATACGAGCTTAAAGTAATTGCAGCAGTGCAGAAGAAAGCAGTTATGTCAGATGCATCTATGTCATGTAAAGCTGAATAATTAGGGGTAATGAATGGATTTCTATAAAAAATGAAAGCAATATAATTTTAAAAACATAATAGTTTGCTTCTCTCCCATTTCTATTTATGGTGGTGTTATTTATTTATTTATTTATTTATTTATTTATTTAACGGAACGTATAATCTATAAGCCTAAGACTGTATTCAGGCATGCTAAATTAAACAGATCTTTCTTACCTTAAAATTGAGCAAACCCATTGCAGTTTCCACAAAAGGAATGAAATTGATCGGCTCTATGAGTGTTCGGCCTTGTAAGTGCCACGCACATTTCTCCATAAACTAGGAACATTACAGAGAGGACATAACATCAAGGCCTGGGCTTTTTAAAACCTCTACAAAAATGGTCTGTAATTTCTTTGCACAAAATTGCAGACCAACCAAGCAGACAATCCGAAGTCCAGATTGCTAGCCCCAATTCTCTGCCCCTGTGTTTTGAGTCTGTTGTTATAGCATTACTCTTATGTTTTCAGCACTACAGGTTTAGCTGCACACATATTTGCCTAACACCTATCATCACTCTGCCTTTGTTAAATGCAAATAAGCAGGATCTGTAAAACAAGGAAGAATTGATATACCTGACATTCTGTTTTCTTTCATGTCTGACACTGACATGCCTGTATATTTTTTTCCAGCCTTCCAAAGTGGCATCCACATTATTCATCACGACCCTGTTACCCTTTGTCCTGGAGATCTTTTCTTCATAATTTTTAGCTTACCTAGGAAGGGCCTTAAAAAGGAAGTTTAATTCTTTGAAGACCAAAGCTTTCCAATTTTTTCCATGAGAGCAGTTCACAGCTAGCTCTGAGCTGCCGGTGGGGTACCCCTGATTCCCAAATCTATCATCTGGGAACATACAAAAGCTCTTGTACAGATTTCTTTTTTTCTTCTTCTCTTTTTCCCTTTTCAAAAGAGAAGGTGGGGGAGAAACTACCTCAGTATATTGTAAATCTATTATGTCTGTCCAGATCTAGCTATGTGTGGGGAGATAAACATATCACAGGTATGCTAAGTAAATTTTAGTCAATAAAGACAGGAGGGGAAAAAAATCTCGCATCATTTTTATATTTAAGGAATATTTAACCATTAATGGCTATCAAAGGGAAAGGGAATTTTAATCATCTCTCCATTCAGTCTCAGTTGGGTAAATCATATCTAAGAGATTTGCATAAATATAAACCATCAAAGACTTTTCATCTTCAAAGGGGGTTTCAAGTCCCTATAAGCTTTGTACTGTAATCATCACAGGTCACAACCCTGCAGGAATAAGGCTGCTATGGCAACATAAAAAACTAATGCTTAAGGCTTAGCATAATATTCTGACTAATATAAAGGAAACTCATTTTGAAACCTGGCAGCCTATTTACCAGAAACTGGATTAGAGGTGTTATTTCCCCTTTTAGCGCTTCTCCCCCTCTCCAAATTTCACCCCTCCCCCAAACAAAAGGAAAATAGAACCACAGCATCTTGAAAAGGGTTCTAAGCACTTTGCAGTAACTTTACATTAGGTCAAAATAAATTAAAACATTTTTTTCCTGCATGTTCTCCATCCCTCCCTTTTTTTTCAAAATGCAGAGTCATCATTGTCACCACTGCCACTGCTTTTCCAATCCTTTCAAAACCTAGTAAACCCCAGAATGTAAGGAATTAAGGGGGGAAAGTCAAGAAAAGGAACAAGAAGGAAGACTTAGGAAGCCCATCTGTCTATCAACCTCCCTACTCAGAAGTAAGGGCCAATGGCCTGATTTCCAATTAAATGGACACAGCCACAATCTGATGCTAGACCCAACAGTGTGATAATCAAACAAAGCTATTCCCTAATAACTTCACAGGCAAGAATTGGTTCATACTCAAAATTTAAATTTTACACTGGAGCTTCTTTGTAAGTTAAATGGTTAAAAAAATGGAAACCTCCCCCCTTCCCCTGAGCTACTTCTATGTATCTGCTGAAATCTTTATGTCTTGCATTTTGGGACCATTAGATTAGGTAAAGTTTGGATCCAAGTATGTTTCTTTTTCCCATTTTAATTATTTTTGTCTTCTTCCTTCCTTTCCCCCCCTTTTAAGTACTATTAGCACCAAATACAAAAGGCAACTAGTGGAGAAGTTTCAATTAATTTTTTTCAAAAGGAGACAATTAAATGTTTCCGGCTTGGTAAAGTGTTCATTTCAGTGAGAGGGCTGGAAAAAAGGAAAGGGGGGAGACAGAAAACAAAGATTGGGGAGGGGATGAAGGCGCAGGCTTTAGCCATTCTTTCAATTCCAGTGCACACCCGATAGTGTGTTGGGAAGAATGCCCACTGTTCAGGATTTGTGGGCAGATTGTCCCACAACAAAAGAGCCAGAGTTAGGCTTGTTATAGTCCAATAAGCCATGCCAGTCAAACAAGTACCCATCTGAAGGACAAAGAGAGAGCAAGAGATTCTCACACAAAAGGGAACAAGTAAGCCCGTCTTTTAGTTGTGCATCAGTCGCCAGGTTTTAGGCTTCGCATAAATCAAAATGAAGGACAAAAATAAACAGCCAAAAGCTTTCCATAGCAATGGCCATCTTAAAAGCAAAGTAAGAGGAGTGCCTCTGGGAAAGGGTTGGGGAAGGAAAGATGGGCTCTGCTTCCAGGAAAAAGCAAGTCTGGGGGAAACGAGTGTCCAGTCACACCCAGCGAATATTTATTGAATCGTCCTAAAACCTTGGATAGATAGAAATATGAATATGCATAGCCAACTCTCAAGATGCTTTAGTCTGCTGTTTGCTGAATCAACAAAAGGCCTTTAGATTTTGCTGGTTTTTTTTACATATACCGTACTTTTTATATATGTACGAATACATTTTTGTATATTTATATATACAGTATACAATATGTGTGTGTGTATACACACACACATACACACAAACTAATGTAAAGAAAGAAAATGAACAGAAAAAGAAATCAAAGAGAAAGCTAAAATTGCAAGAAAGGAGAAAAAGTTAAAGAAAAATAGAAAAGCAAGGGGAAAAAAAAGATGGAATTAGTTTCCAATCTTCTTTATAGCAGTTGTTAAATACAATTATAAATGTAGATCTTGCTGTCTGAAAGAGCTACCGAATGTGATAAAATAATGAAATGATTCCTTTTGAGTATGTTTGGACATACTGGACATTAGGTTTTTCTGAATGTTGGAATGTTTTCTTTCACTGATATTCGATTAAGAAGTAGACTCAATTACTGGATAATACTCTTCTGACCTGCTGACTGGGCAAGAATTATAAAGAACCGATGGCCACGTAATACTAGTAGATATAGACTAGATGAGGACACGTAACTGAACTTCAGAATCTATTTATCTATTTTCCTTTATGGATTTTATATTTAATTTGTGCTCATCCCTACCCCAGGCTCGGAAAACAAAGTAAAATGAAGCTTGGCTGACTTCAATAATATTCTCAAGAAATAATATGGTAAAATGAAATGAAAATTCCTCTTCAATAATAAACACAATTATAGCATAATTATGCCCGTTTCAGCATTTTCTTATGCAATTTGACAGACTAACCATTTACAATCTCCAGTTTCTATTGGCTGAAAAGTCAGTCATGAAAAACAAACACACCTGCCAGCAATTTAAAAGGAAGACATAGAGGGCTGGACAGGAAATAATATATTTCCTAATTAAAAACACTAGTTAAAAGCTTCCTGTTTGTTCTTTGGGCTGCCCTTGGGAGTGACCTTTCCTTCTATCTCCACCATAATTTTTTCAAATGTTGGTAAAATGCTTCCTCCATCCACCAAAATGTTCTAACATGGAGAATAAATTCTATATCATGATTGCTGGACTTCAAGTATGATGAAAAGGAGGATTGATTCTTAACAGTTTTTGTTTCATTTTACTTTGTCCAAAATGAATCATAATATATTAATATTGCATTTCTAAATCCACCTCCTTTTATACACATACAATGCATATGCGGTTACAAACTATTCTCTTTGTCCTGTGAGTCTTGAAAACAGAGTTTTAAATGTGTTCGTGTGATTTGATTCTCCCTTGCTAAGAAAATCGACTATGTTTAATATCTCAAAACGGCATAGGACAACTATCACAATTCTCAAATCTGACTTAGTTTCTGCTTAAGAGAAGATAAATTACTTTTTGATATTCCAAAACAAAATGGGTAAATTATACAGTAGATGAACTGAATCAAGTACTAGCATCAGAAATATTTCATATTTGCTTCATGATATCATTCTGTTTCTTCCCTTCTGAAACTGGATGCAAATCTTTATCTGAGATAATGGCAGATAAAACTCACCCATTTTATTTCGTCTACGTTGTCAACCTTCGGGAGCATCAGGCTAGTAGGAAGAATCTTGGATTTCAAAATGACCTTCATATCTTCTTCTGCAAGACCACTCGACACTGAATTGATCCTAACACACTTCTCCGTCTGACCAAAGTCAAAGTTCTCAAGGGCTTCCACAGTTTTTATTCTAGCTTCTGCCTATTTTTTTTTGAAAAAGATAAAGATAAACCAAATGTTTTACTAAGAACTAACTTTTTAAAAATCAAGTTTAATTAAGTGAACAATGGAGAAATTCACCTGCATTACAGATCATGATATAGTTAGATTGGGCTAGGTCATATGAAAGGGTATCCTTGGAATGTGATCAAAAGTCAAGATGATGAAATTCTGTCGTCGTCCCCCCAAATGTGCATTGTATATGCTATCTTGATCTTTTTGACCATACATAGTGGACACACCTGCTCAGGTGCTATTCTTTTTCAAATAAAAACAATTAGGCTTAGCCACAATTCAATGTGTTTAATCAACTATTTGTGAGTCATAGCAGATGGCAGCACCTAGAGCACTTTAACTTGAACAAGTTGAACAGGGTTGGATCTGATTGGCACTTGAATGGCACAATCCCATTAAAGAATCCTAAGGCAACATTTTTTTTCTTCCTAGCATTTTCTTACAAGTGCAGGTTCCACTTTTTAAAGATCAACTGAGTATTGGTTGCAACAGGAATTGATTGACGACTGGTTTGTCACCTGAGCTTGAAATCATGAGCCGAGAGAGAGAGTGACTTTCATGCCTATAGCAAGATTAGAACTCACATTCTCGTGGTTCCTTATCCACTAGACCAAACTGGTCCTCTAGCCTAAAGCTATACACGAAAGTAACTCTCTTCCCCCTCCCAAAAATCTTAGAAACTAGAATCTTTGTTTTTATGATACTTTAAATGTGATTTTTATATTTGTTGTATCTGTGTGTTTTTAATATGTAGTTTTGCTTGTTGAGGACCCAGACTGTGGGGGCGATATGCTGACTCTGTAAACCGCTTAGAGAGGGCTGAAAGCCCTATGAAGCGGTATATAAGTCTAACTGCTATTGCTATTGTTTACTGCCCAGAGCCACCTTTCAAGAGATGGGAAGCCATATACATTTAATAAATACACAGATACAACAAATATATGGCTATTTCTATAGTGTTATCATAAAAATTATATATATATACACATACATACAATCACCTGCCAAAGACCTATTAGATCCCACAGACTAGGCCTCCCCCGAATTCCATCTGCCGGCCAATGCCGACTGGCGACCACCCGGAGG